ATATATATATATATATATATTTTATCATAATTCATTGATTTATCGATTTCAAGTTTGACGTGCATAGTACATGATAAATAAATAATAAATATATAAATGTATACATACAAGTATGAGATTATATAAAATAGCATTTTACACAAGTCAAGTTCGAACGCTACTCGAGACTGTAAAAAAAAATGTGCCTAAAAGGAATCGAAGAACCTAGTTGTGAAGTGCTTGGTCCTAAATAAGTGTTCGAGTCTACTCGGAAGGAAGTATTCCTTTCATTCGCGGAACGAAACATTCACGAAGTGATCGCGAAGGATTACGAAGGTTTCGAAGCCCACGCACTCATCTTTATCTCATCTCTGTGTAGGCGGTAGCCTCAGCCGGTAAACGAGGAACCGCGAAGATCATCCACGACATAGAGGACGAAGAGCAGAGTGCGCAGGAGCCTCTTGCGGAGAGGGGGTGGCCCACCATCGACGGGGGAGCTTCGTCAGCCACGGCTGAATTGCGCACACGCGCGGAATTTCCCGGGAATCGGATCTTTCCGGGTCTCCGAGACACTGTTCTCGTTCGTTCGGTTCACTCGAGCGTCCGACGTGCAACACGGCAACAGGTGACGACCGGAAGCCGATCGTCCAGCATCTTTCACATCTGCAGCTTCACTGACAAACACCCGTCACACAGTGTGTACACGCGAGGGAAGCTTCTCTCCTCATTGGGGAGAATTCTCTTGGGTTCGTTCGTGAGAGACCGATTGGCTCGAGGAACTTCAGGCGTTCAGTTTGGTATCGTTAGCTGAATCGTTCGAATTGGAAGAATCGAAGAGGAGTGGGTCGCGAAGGAGGGAAAATGAGCGTCGAGGACGTCATCAACTACAAAGCCAGCGAGGAGGAGGATTACTATGCTCTGCTCTCGTGCGACGAGTTCGCGACGGTAAGACAAATTTCCTACCTGTATTTGCCATTCAGATTCTTGTCTTTTTCCCCGCGTGTTTCTTTTTCTTTCTTTGCGTTTCTCTCGATCGTTACCGATGGCAGGCTGGCTTAGCGAAAAATTGAGAAAACTGAAGTTTTTGGAGAAGAACAGTGTTTCTCTTCTTTTCTTTCTGTGAACTGTGACCAGTCTCGTAAATTTCTTTACGAAGTGTTAATTTCTAAGAGTTTTCAGTACTCACTTCAGTTCCTTTTTCTTGATTTTTTTCCCTCGCTGACAGAATATTATTCTTACGATTTTACGAAAAAAATATTTAAAATTGAAGCTTCTCCAATATTCTGGATTTCTGTCTTCGGAAATTCACTCTTGAACTTTTGAATTATTTCGGTCACAACAATTTTTAATTAACAGTGATATGAAAGCACTGTGAAACTTAGTAAAGTAATTTATTAACAGAACAATTTATTCTCTCTTTGATAGAACCTTTTTCTATCGTGTCGCATTATATGTACCTTGAATTCGTTGTTTCAACAATCTCTTTGACTTCTAAGAATTTTGACGAAAAACGAAGTCTTGTTTGCACACTGATCTCTATGTAAATCATTGATCGTTCCTCATTTTTTCAATTTTTTAATTTCTTTTTTTATTGATGTCAAATTAATACTAATAATAAAAAGTTATTACTCATGAAAAAATAAATCATGGAATTTGCAAATTCTTTTATCAACGATAAATGAATAGAGTAAATTTTTTAAATTAAATCGCGCGTAAGATTCGCACGCAATCTTTCACGCAGCTGCATGTAGACGTTTAATTTCATATCACGATCTTCTCTAGTTTCGACTAATGTTACGACCATTTGTTTCGGATTTTCACTTGTTACAATTATGTTCGAAACTATAATTGTTTATAATTGTTCGAAGAAGTGACGCATGATATAAAGTGCAATAATTAGAGAGCGAACTTCTCTCTAACAAAGGAGTTTGGAAACGAATTTCTAACAACTTGTATTGCTGTCTAGAATATATCAGAAATACACGCTGCATGTTAGAAAAGATAAATGTCATAGAATCTCACCTTTAAGCTGTAAAATAAGACAAGAAAAATGTGTCAAATTGAAACGAAGGATGGACGAGGATTAATTACAGAGCGCTCGTTGACTCAATTATAGAGCACGTAGAAAAAAAAATATAATCTAATATGAA